TTATTGTAAAGATAGGTAATATGATAATTTGAATTTGAATTAAATCCAATTAGAAAACATAAACATACAATGGCAATTATAAACGATATTCCTAATAATATAAATAATTGTCGTGATCTTGCAATTGATTGAATACGAACAAATCTTAAATAATTAAAATAGCCTAAGGATGTTTTACAACAAAATGAAAATATAACTAGAAAATACACAATATGCATGAGTGCTAAAGAGCTAGTATAACATACAGTTGATGTAACATTATCTGTTAAATAAACGGTTAATAATAGACCAAGATAAAATATAAATAGAAGACAAGTACTTCCACATGATATTAATGGTAACATATCAAACATATTAATTTGTGTACAATGTTTGTAAAAAACTTTTGTTATTAAAGCATGACTAATAATACAAATGAAAGCAATAATTGAAAACAATTGAAATACTATTGAAATAAAATCAGTCAAATTATAACGATAATCAGATGCACGATTAGCTAGAGATGAAAAACAAAGTTAATGTAACCGTTTATATTAAATGACGTAAGAGTATCCCCGCTCTCCTCCCTCTTTTCCATCCTGTTAGCAGAGATGGAAGCGTAGGTTACGCGAATGCAAATTTTGACCAACGATACTTTCAGACCGTATCTTAGATTCTAAATTTTTTCTTAAAAAAAATACTTTTCTTCTCAAGATATCACTGACAATCCTTGGTAAAAATGTTTGATAGTTTTTTAATCAGATAATTTTTCAAGGAGTCATAATATAACATTACGGATAACATGAAACCGGTCACTTTTTACAGGTGATTTGCGGCGATGGTCGTATCTCCACTAAAAACTACTGAAAATTCTCGGAAATGGTCTCATAGTCAAGAGAAAGCTTTGTTCTATTAAACTAAGTATAAGAAAATATTTCGAAGGAAAGCACTGAAAATTTTAAAAAAATTAATAAAATCTCAGAAATTGATATATTTCAGGTTCTTGAATTAAGTTTGTGTTTTGCAAAAGTTATGAAATTTTATCAGAAAAAGCGGGGGAAGGTATCTTTAAATATTACCCATACATATTTCTGATAATGGTAACCATAACAAGGCAAACGTGGTAGCATGTGTACAATAACATTCATATACATGCATAATTGAGTTATAACCAATCAATTTACAACCAGTTTGATTCCATCCATTACCATCCCAAAATGAACATTGAAGAGAAGATAATGATGTTGTTGGAGTGATTTCACTTGTGTTATAAATCGGTGAAAAATAAAGCATTATGTCAGCCTGTTGTTCAATGATCAAATTAATACTGACGATAATAACAGATGAAATTAATATTGTATCATTTTTATCATATTGTTTATAATTATCGGGTTTCTTAATTAATAAAAACTTTAATAATTGAATTTTTAACTGAACGGTATTATTTACAATTACTGCAGATGATATGTTAGGCCTAAAGTTATTTACATTCGAATTGGTTATAATATCACCGCCTTGATGAAATAAATATGAATACAATACAGCGCCGATAATTAACGTATCATTCGATGAGAGAAGAAAGAGATCTGATGTGTTTCTCATTATATTTATATTGATTCCCATATCGATAATATGATCTAATTGATTAGCATCTAATAGTAGTGATGAATTTTCAGTGATATCGATATTCGTTAATGCTTCATAGTAATCTTCTAATGCATCTGCTAAACCGTTTGTGTCAACATTAGTTGAATTGAGTATAAACAAGGAATTATACTATAAACATAGAAAACACTTATTCCTTCTAATTCAGGTGTTTTTTTTTGTCTGTACTTACGATTGCTTCGATAAAAGACACACAACTACGATTAACGGAAGAATACATATATCCAGTTGAACAATTAACTAAAAACAAGAAATATTTTCATTTTTAACAAGTAAATGACGGTGCCAATTTGAAGCGAAATCTGCCCCCTAAATACTAAAACATTCGCTCACTATTCATTCAAAAAGGGTCAGAACGAGTCAAAAAGTTCCGGATGTACAGTATTAGGACAATGTATATGATACGTAGAAAAAATCTACAACTTTGTCTTTTGTAAAAAGGATTTCTTGAAAGTCTGTGAACTAACCCGATAATTTTCTGACTTTCGGATGGTATGGTTACTTTTAGTGGACATAAGTAATTTTACCCGGGAGTTTTAACTCGTTCTGACGCTTTTTGAGTTAATAGTGAATTTTTTAGTATTATGTGGTAACAGTTTGAAAACTCTAACTATTCATAAAACTCGGTTTGTTTTTAAAAACAAACATTGCTGAAAAATTCAACGTTGTCGATTACCTATGTTCCATTCGATTTCAAGGCTGTTCGAAGTCATCGGGTACGAATCGTGGGGTTCCAAGGAAAGCCAATGCCATTTAGGCGCAGTGCCGTAGCTGGAACATATGGAGTATTAAATTCACAAAGGACGCTGCCAGGCTTCGTTACGTTTTCCATTAACACATATTGTAGAGCGTTTTTAAAGCTCGGCTATGCCGAGAAATGTACACAAATATTTTCTTTACAAACTCTGATTCAAAGTAACTTAAAAATACCGAGAGCAGATTTTGCTTAAAATTGGGCCCTGTTCGCACTACCATAGCCGTTTCGATAAAGAAAGTACTTCGTTATTTTATTGAGTAGCTTTTAATACAAATTATATTCATACGAGCATGAAAACTTTGTAACTCATTCAACATCAAGCCAAATGGTTTGAAAACTTAGTTATATTCAATGAGCATGATAGCAGTACCTAAAAAGTGAAGTAAATTCGTTTTCGTTTGCTAGAGTTCCGGAAAATCTGTTTAAAACAATTTGTTGTATTAGTCTTTTTTGTGCTTATTTATTCAATACTTTTCTTTACAAGAAATGTGAAATGGCCAATAAATTACGTTTCAAACGTTTTTAAGTTTATTGCAAATTAATTGAGACATACTTATACGATCTCAGGTAATTCGATATCACGCTTAAACCACATAAAATAGAGGACCCGAGGTTGGATTTAGATTGCACTTTGAACCATGAACTGACGTGAGAGACGTATAGGTTTGTATCAGAGCTTTTTCGTGGTCACATTGTCTTATTTGGACAGATAAGACACACCAAATACAGATAGTACCTTTAACACGTTTTATTCATTAGTTTCTAACCTCTGATCTAGAGAGTACTAAATTCTGGAAACTATACGACTCCATCTCTGTTGGTCATAAATTATTAAAAAGCTGATTAAGTGAATTTTGTTTTGAATTGATTAGTAGCTAGCACATCAAAACATAGTATGCATTAGTGTTTGAATCCTCCATTGTAGATGCTTCCTCGCAGCTAGTCGCATCCAACTGTAAAGAGTCGATAGAAATATGAATAATATCATTAAACTTACTATTTGGCATTGAGTTTGTTGTTGTCCGCAAAATCAAAGCGGTGCTTATTGTAGTCACAGAACCACTGTTGATATCTGTTGTGACATTCGCTGAAGTAGAGAAAGATGAATCCATCAAAATCAACATTTTATTTGGCTTGTATATTGGAAGAGATGATGTAACTTAATTGTACCTGTTATTGTTAATATTGAAGTCTCAGTAGTCGACAGTATTGATTCTAAGTTACTGAGATC